AATTTACATGAATCTCACTGTACATACCTTTATCCAGGAATGTTGAGTGATGTTAAGGATCCAACAATCATTTAATGTATCATCATTCTTATCCAACCCACCACTTATCACTAGCATAGGACAGTCTGATCCAGTTATAATAATAGCACCTGCATGATTAAATCTACTCACAGGCCATTGGTACATGTATATTGCTTCAGGTTTCTTTATACACTGCCAGAACTAATAAATAAAATAACCACACCCATTAACAATGACATGTGTGTGTGTGTGTAAGCATACATTCAGTACACATAATTTAACATACCACAGTGCTGATTGATATCTCTAATATATATATATTGTTAGTAGTAGTTTCCTTAGCATCATCATAAGTCTCTACTCCACCAAACAGAATAGCTCTAGTGTTGTTGATCTTTTCAATGATGAAGTGACTAGCAGGTGGTATACACTGACCAATGATTGAAGGATTACTCCATTTTCCTAAATTAAAATTATTAACATAACTTTAAACAACACTGAATAAAATCTTACTTGATGATAGATTATACATTGAGTGCTCATTAGTACGCCAGTTTCCATTAGATAACTCAATATATTTATAATGAGGTAGTTGTACAGCTGGTTTAGATCCTAGTCCTCCTATCATTAGTAAATGGTGTACTCCATCATGTTCAAATGATATCATTCCACCACCACCTCTCCTCATAACTGGTCTAGTTGCATCAGTTGGTTCTAATTCTCTCCATTGAAGACTAACGGTATCCAGTTGTGTAATACTGTTGTGATAGCAGTCGTCATGGCCACACTTTCCCCCAAAATAATACAATAGATCATTTATTGCAGTACAGCAGTATGCAATGATTCCTAATGAAGCCTTGAGAGTATCAGTAGTAGCTCTAGTGATCCATTGACCAGTTGAAGGAGTAAAGTGCTCTATATTACTAGTAAAGCTTCTCTTGCTGATGCTATCGTGTACTTCAGGTAAGCCAGGCTGTTTACCACCCCACACATACAGTGAATTACCTACTGATACTGTGTGGTGATAGACTCTTACATTCACTTGATCTATATATCAATGATTGACAGTACATGATCACTGGAATAGTAACAATAGGACTTACTTCTAGACGCTTATAGCCAAAGGGGCCAAGAGGCCAGCCCCACCAAAGTGCCTATCTAAAGATCACGTGACGAATCTACCCTACCACCCACGCATTACAAATTAAAATGAACAATAAAATTAGCTCAGTTCAAAACCAGATCCAGAAGATATAGCATACACCAGTTTATCTCTCAGAGTGTCCT